ATGAGGCCTGGTCACACACCGGGCCACGGGGACGTTGACTCCGAAAACCCTCTCCAGGAGTACAGCTTGTTATCATAGCTAGTAGCACAGTTAGTTACCAGTTTCTAGGATGGGTGGACCATCCTGGTACTGTGTTAAACAGTCGCTGCATTGTTCTAACTCTTCAGAAGGAAGGTTAAAGATGACCTTGTTCCTTGCAAGTTATTTAGCTTCTAGGAACTCCTCTGACCACTAGACTCGCGCTTTTTAGCTGATTAACACCATACTAGTGGATTATTCTAGTACTATTATGGTGTTAACCATACTAGCAGAATAATCCTGCTTCAGCTCACCTGACTGCAGTATATAAGCCACTTCTCTGCTTCAGCTTACCCGACTGCAGTATATAAGCCACTTCTCTGCTTCAGCTCACCTGACTGCAGTATATAAGCCACTTCTCTGCTTCAGCTAACCTGACTGCAGTATATAAGCCACTTCTCTGCTTCAGCTCACCTGACTGCAGTATATAAGCCACTTCTCTGCTTCAGCTCACCTGACTGCAGTATATAAGCCACTTCTCTGCTTCAGCTAACCTGACTGCAGTATATAAGTCACTTCTCTGCTTCAGCTCACCTGACTGCGGTATATAAGCCACTTCTCTGCTTCAGCTAACCTGACTGCAGTATATAAGCCACTTCTCTGCTTCAGCTCACCTGACTGCAGTATATAAGCCACTTCTCTGCTTCAGCTCACCTGACTGCAGTATATAAGCCACTTCTCTGCTTCAGCTAACCTGACTGCAGTATAAAAGCCACTTCTCTGCTTCAGCTCACCTGACTGTGGAATATAAGCCACTTCTCTGCTTCAGCTAACCTGACTGTGGAATATAAGCCACTTCTCTGCTTCAGCTAACCTGACTGCAGTATATAAGCCACTTCTCTGCTTCAGCTAACCTGACTGCAGTATATAAGCCACTTCTCTGCTTCAGCTAACCTGACTGCAGTATATAAGCCACTTCTCTGCTTCAGCTAACCTGACTGCAGTATATAAGCCACTTCTCTGCTTCAGCTCACCTGACTGCAGTATAAAAGCCACTTCTCTGCTTCAGCTCACCTGACTGCAGTATATAAGCCACTTCTCTGCTTCAGCTAACCTGACTGCAGTATAAAAGCCACTTCTCTGCTTCAGCTCACCTGACTGTGGAATATAAGCCACTTCTCTGCTTCAGCTCACCTGACTGCAGTATATAAGCCACTTCTCTGCTTCAGCTCACCTGACTGCAGTATATAAGCCACTTCTCTGCTCCAGCTCACCTGACTGCAGTATAAAAGCCACTTCTCTGCTTCAGCTCACCTGACTGTGGAATATAAGCCACTTCTCTGCTTCAGCTCACCTGACTGCAGTATATAAGCCACTTCTCTGCTCCAGCTCACCTGACTGCAGTATATAAGCCACTTCTCTGCTTCAGCTCACCTGACTGCAGTATATAAGCCACTTCTCTGCTTCAGCTCACCTGACTGCAGTATAAAAGCCACTTCTCTGCTTCAGCTCCCCTGACTGCAGTATATAAGCCACTTCTCTGCTTCAGCTCACCTGACTGCAGTATATAAGCCACTTCTCTGCTTCAGCTCACCTGACTGCAGTATATAAGCCACTTCTCTGCTCCAGCTCACCTGACTGCAGTATATAAGCCACTTCTCTGCTTCAGCTCACCTGACTGCAGTATATAAGCCACTTCTCTGCTTCAGCTCACCTGACTGCAGTATATAAGCCACTTCTCTGCTTCAGCTCACCTGACTGTGGAATATAAGCCACTTCTCTGCACACGTGCTGTACTTGTCTCATTATAGACTGAACACATCGACTCTTATAAGACAGTTGAGGCAGAGAAATATAATTCTCTGACGTTAATACTAGGCGACTTTTATATAGCATTTGTTGCAAAGATCAAGTGTACAAAATCTGGGTTTATGTCCAATTTGGAAAGATTTTGGTTTACGAGTTTAAAGAAATCTGTAGATACTTTAAGGCTGAGACAATAAGTTTTGGTTTATTTCCTGCAAGGCAGCAGGTGTTGTCCTGCGTTGGCAGCAGGTGTTGTCCTGCGTTGGCAGCAGGTGTTGTCCTGCGTTGGCAGCAGGTGTTGTCCTGCGTTGGCAGCATGGTGTTGTCCTGCGTTGGCAGCAGGTGTTGTCCTGCGTTGGCAGCAGGTGTTGTCCTGCGTTGGCAGCAGGTGTTGTCCTGCGTTGGCAGCAGGTGTTGTCCTGCGTTGGCAGCAGGTGTTGTCTGCGTTGGCAGCAGGTGTTGTCCTGCGTTGGCAGCAGGTGTTGTCCTGCGTTGGCAGCAGGTGTTGTCCTGCGTTGGCAGCAGGTGTTGTCCTGCGTTGGCAGCAGGTGTTGTCCTCCGGCAGCAGGTGTTGTCCTGCGTTGGCAGCAGGTGTTGTCCTGCGTTGGCAGCAGGTGTTGTCCTCCACCCTGCGCTGGTGTAGCAGGTGTTGTCCTGCGTTGGCAGCAGGTGTTGTCCTCCACCCTGCGCTGGTGTAGCAGGTGTTGTCCTGCGTTGGCAGCAGGTGTTGTCCTGCGTTGGCAGCAGGTGTTGTCCTCCACCCTGCGCTGGTGTAGCAGGTGTTGTCCTGCGTTGGCAGCAGGTGTTGTCCTCCACCCTGCGCTGGTGTAGCAGGTGTTGTCCTGCGTTGGCAGTAGGTGTTGTCCTCCACCCTGCGCTGGTGTAGCAGGTGTTGTCCTGCGTTGGCAGCAGGTGTTGTCCTGCGTTGGCAGCAGGTGTTGTCCTCCACCCTGCGCTGGTGTAGCAGGTGTTGTCCTGCGTTGACAGCAGGTGTTGTCCTCCACCCTGCGCTGGTGTAGCAGGTGTTGTTCTGCGTTGGCTGCAGGTGTTGTTCTGCGTTGGCTGCAGGTGTTGTTCTGCGTTGGCTGCAGGTGTTGTCCTCCACCCTGCGCTGGTGTAGCAGGTGTTGTTCTACGTTGGCTGTAGGTGTTGTCCTCCACCCTGCGCTGGTGTAGCAAGTGTCCTTCGCAGGCAGCAGGTGTTCTCCGCCTTGTGCTGGTGCCCTTCGTTGATAGCAGGTGTTCTCTGCCCTGCGCTGGTGTTGTCCTTTGCTGGTAGCAGGTGTTGTCCTGCGCAGGTATCAGGTGTTGTCCTGCGCTGGTGTAGCAGGTGTTATGCGCTGGTACCAGGTGTTGACCTGCGCAGGTATCAGGTATCCTGCTCTGTATCAGGTGTTGTCCTCCGCCTTGCGCTGGTGTAGCAGGTGTTTTCACGTGCTGGTAGCAGATGTTGTCCTGCGCTGTATCAGGTGTTGTCCTCCGCCTTGCGCTGGTGTAGCAGGTGTTTTCACGTGCTGGTAGCAGATGTTGTCCTGCGCTGTATCAGGTGTTGTCCTCCGCCTTGCGCTGGTGTAGCAGGTGTTTTCACGTGCTGGTAGCAGATGTTGTCCTGCGCTGTATCAGGTGTTGTCCTCCGCCTTGCGCTGGTGTAGCAGGTGTTTTCACGTGCTGGTAGCAGATGTTGTCCTGCGCTGTATCAGGTGTTGTCCTCCGCCTTGCGCTGGTGTAGCAGGTGTTTTCACGTGCTGGTAGCAGATGTTGTCCTGCGCTGTATCAGGTGTTGTCCTCCGCCTTGCGCTGGTGTAGCAGGTGTTTTCACGTGCTGGTAGCAGATGTTGTCCTGCGCTGTATCAGGTGTTGTCCTGCTCTGGTCAGTAATCCCTCTCTCTTGCGGTCACCTTCCGTCTCTCCTCTGCCCGACCTTCACTTGTTTTTGTGCGACTTATCTGCATTTCACATTTAATAAAATCGATATTTTCTCATTCTTGATTTATCTCAGCTCAGTGTAATATTTCTCAGCAGTGCTTAAGGTGACAGCCTACAGCAAAAAAAAACACCCTTAAGGATATTAAAGCAGCAGCAGTCCATCAGGAACACACATAGCCAGGAGCTATGACTCGACCCCTGCAACCACAATTTGGTGAGTACACTGCCAGTGTGTGTGTGTGTGCGTGTGTAGTTATTAGTTGTCAAAGGCACTTGTCGATAGAAACTTGGCCTGTTTCGTGTGTAATTTAGCTACTAATTGTCAAAGGCATTTGTCGATAGACACGTGTGCATGTGTGTGTGTGTGTGTACTCGCCTATTTGTGGTTGCAGGGGTCGATTCATAGCTCCTGGCCCCCCCCTCTTCACTGATCACTACTAGGTCCTCTCTCTCCCTGCTCCATGAGCTTTATCAAACCTCATCTTAAAACTATGTATGGTGTACACGCAAGATTAAGCACGTTATGTATGGCAATTATCTTGCGTGGTTAATGAGTTCATTTAGGCACGGGTACACGTAAGTACAAATTACCATACATAGTGTAAATTACCCAGGATAACCAAAAAAAGTCAGACAAATGGAACACTGGGGGCCTGTTTCCTTAAGACACCTGCCGTCCCTATTTATATCGCAGTAGGTAGGTACCTGGGTGCTATCTGACTGGTGTGGGTCACTATGTGCCCGAAATGCTCTGCATAACAAGGGCTTTTCTATATATCATGTATCTGTAGAATTAAATATTATTTTATTGTTATTGCTATTATTATTATTATTATTATTATTATTATTATTATTATTATTATTATTATTATTATTATTATTATTATTAGTATATTGGTGTGTGTCTTATTTCCATTGGGGTGTTATACAGATTTTCCATTCATCTTGCAGCTGCCATGTAGATGAGGGTCGCCGCACGACGCGAATGTAACAAGTGTCATAACTTAAAAGAAACAAGACGGAAGGAAGGTTGTTAAACCCGTCTGGTCGTGACAACTAGATATTGTGATTCAGAGCCGGTGAGTGTGTGGTGTTCCTTGCAACCGGATGGCCAGCCGCTTCCATGATGCCATATTGCTTATAACGACGAGACTAGTACTTCTGTATACACTCGGGAACTACTAGCAGAGAAGTGATGCCAGTAGGTTATAGGCTAAAACCTAAGATATTAGATGCAACACCAAAAATTGTATCATGTAGTAACTAATGCGTTTCCTGGTAAATTACATTTTTCCTCGTACTGCACGAGTCTTACAGACTCCTCCCCTGGCTGTGAAACACCAGCTCCTGTACTCCGCCTACTGCGGCCACCACTCCTTTCCACCAGCTGTGTATATAAGGTTGGATCCTGGCCTTCATATCCCAAACTTCACTCTTGACCAGGGTACAGCCTACTCTTCAATTATTGACATGAAGACAGTGAGTCTGTTTAAGTTTCTTTGATATAATATAATAGTGATTATCTTTGCGGTAATAAAAAGCTGAGTTGGTTAGTTAATTAAGCTTTAAGATTATTTGCTACTCAAAGGGTCATTATATCTGCATGTAACCCGTTCACCACGGGTCAAGAATATTTTAATCCCTAAATTTAGCGCTTTTTTTATTATAATAAAAATTAATCCCTAAAATAGGGATTAGACTCTTAGTGTGTAGCTACTGAGAAACGGTAGTATTGTAAATGGGTTGGGCAAATATTTTTGTTAGTGGGTTTGAGAATGACTTACCTAGTATGAGACAGTAGGCCTGCTGCAGTGTTCCTCCTTTCTTATGCCCTTATACACCTCCAGATGTATATATCCTGTGACATAATCGTTGGAAAAAAAATAAGATAATTATATTGGCGCTCTTACATTATAAGATCATGCTCACAGAACTATCAAATCACGGTATGGGTGGGGTTAGAACCCATGGCGAGTGAGTCGTACAACTACAGGCCAGTACGTAAGCTACTGGGCCAGTGGCCAGTGGTTGACACACTGGCCTGGAGTTTTAAGACTCACCATGGGTTCTAACCCCACCCGTACCGTGATTTATTTACAATCTTGTTATAACAATTTCGTGAGTCGCATAACTACGCTACATTTTAATATCCTGCAAGTTTTGTATCTTATTACTTCGTAGAACCAGACATTGTAATAATACCTGATAAGCATAAGTGAATGTAATATTAACTACCTGTATTTACGTTCTAACAAGCGAAACTCTTAGTCACACCACTCGGCTCATATATATTATTATTATTATTATAATCAAGGGGGAAGCGCTAAACCCGGAGGATTATACAGCGCCTGGGGGGGGGATGTGGAAGGCATTCAGGCTTAATTCGGGGAACTGGAGCACAGATCCAATTCCCTAAATCAAGAGCCCCTCACCAACATCAAGGAACCTTCCTTGAGGGGTCGGCTCATATATAACTTTTAAAGTGTACTACATTCTTGAATAATTAACTGTTCAATCTAAATAATTCGAGACATACTTAAACAATGTTGGGCATCGTAACGGATAAGAGTAAACTCAAGAATATTACATTCAATATATGAATTGTATATCATTAAGAGGCACGTAAGTTCCCTCGTCTTCTAATATCATGTTTATTTTTCCCCCTATAATCTACCTTGTCTATAATTACTATCACATTTGCTTTGTCTGTTTCGTAAGGTGAAGTTCAGGATCTATCCTTAATTTTTATTGACAATTGTTGTTGTAGAGGTCTGAACTTTGTGTTGTAGAGGTCTGAGTTCTGTGTTGTAGAGGTCTGAACTTTGTTCAGACCTCTACAACACAAAGCTTAGTTAAGTTATACCATTAATTAAGGAAAGATCCTAGACTTGCAAATGTGACAGTAATTACGGACAAGGTAGATTATAGTGGAAAAATAAACATGATATTAGAAGACGGGGGAACTTAGGTGCTCTTAATACCCTGGCAAGGTTCCAGTCATCATGATGTCTCCCTCATACGTCACAATGAGGTGTTAGACTCAAGTACAGATTTACAATAACACTTGTTTCAAATGGAACTCAGAGGATTTCCCGGTTTGATTTATATACGTAGAATGACATTGCTTGGCAGGTTCAAAATAAACTCTCCATACTGATGTTTACCTGGAGTTTACCTGGAGAGAGTTCCGGGGGTCAACGCCCCCGAGGCCCGGTCTGTGGCCAGGAGTTTTCTCATAGCTGATACTTGTATTTACATTTTATAAGTGATTATTATATTATGTTGTAGGTTGATTCAAGTGTAACAAGTTTTCGTTACAAGACAGAACAAGTATATTTCTCACGTTTATATTCAGTCCTAGATGTTCTATAAAAATAATTCTTGTCTATAATTATTTTATTAGCCAGGAAACAAGGCAAGTGCTTCCTGACACTGGTCATAATCATTTAGATAACCCGTCACTTTCTAATCTTAGTATTCTCGATGTAGTTATGTCAAATATTGAACACTTACTCCAATTTCTAAATTCTTACTCAAAATATTTTCCCGGACTGTGTCCTGACACCGGTAAGTAAAGTTTTAGGCACATGTACACAAGTACAATTATCATACATAGTGTAAATTACCCAGGATAACCCAGTGCATATATATAGTGCATGCAAAAGCACTGACGTGAAAACACTTTCTTTTACGAGGCTTTTGATGGGTACCTGGAGGTTACCTGGAGGTTATTCCGGGGATCAACGCCCCCGCGGCCCGGTCCACGACCAGGCCTCCCGATGGATCAGGGCCTGATCAACTAGGCTGTTACTGCTGGCCGCACGCAGTCCGACGTACGAGCCACAGCCCGGCTGATCCGGCACTGACTTTAGGTATCTGTCCAGCTCTCTCTTGAAGGCAGCCAGGGGTTTATTGGCAATTCCCCTAATGCTTGATGGGAGGCTGTTGAACAGTTTTGGGCCCCGGACACTTATGGTGTTTTCTCTTAGTGTACCAATGGCGCCCCTACTTTTTAGTGGCGGCATTTTGCATCGCCTGCCCAGTCTTTTACTTTCGTAGGGAGTGATTTCTGTGTGCAAAATTTGGGACCATTCCCTCCAAGATTTTCCAAGTGTAGATTATGATATATCTCTCCCTCCTGCGTTCCAACGAGTACAAGTCAAGTGCTTTCAAGCGTTCCCAGTAGTTAAGGTGCTTGACAGAACTTATACGTGCGGTAAAGGATCTCTGTACACTCTCTAGATCTGCGATTTCACCTGCTTTGTATGGAGATGTTAATGTACAGCAGTATTCCAGCCTAGAGAGAACAAGTGATTTGAAAAGGATCATCATGGGCTTGGCATCTCTCGTTTTGAAAGTTCTCATTATCCATCCTATCATTTTCTTTGCACGTGCGATCGTGGCACTGTTGTGATCCTTTTCAGTCTACCTATCAGGTTTCTTATGCACAATGAGTTTGAAATCTTAATCGCATCTACTTTATTCTCAATGGTAAATTTTATTGGCTGGAAGAAAATTATCAAGTGTAAGCAGGTTATTGCATGGCGAGAGGCAATACGTTAATGAACCATTGAATTCGCACACATGGAGCCTCAGGTTCGACTCCTGGTTACTTCTACCTAGTTTAGGTCTTTTAATATGAACTTTTAGTGTACATTGAGAATGACATTGAAGGGACAAGAGCTAGATCTGTTTGTCTCTCTCTCTCGTCACATTTTATCCCGGCATTCTCATCTTCACTAACTAACTTTTGTTCTTCTCAGGCACTGATGTGGTTGACCGTGTGTGCCTTAATTGGTGTGGCCATGGCCCTGCCTGCTCCCCTGGCCCTGCCTGATGCCCTGGCCCTGCCTGATGCCCTGGCCCTGCCTGCTCCCTTGGCCCTGCCTGCTCCCCTGGCCCTGCCTGATGCCCTGGCCCAACCGTATCCTGAAGCAGATCCCGACGCCTCACATCGTGGAGGATACAAAGGAGGATTCGATGGCAGTTTCGGAGGAGGCTTCGGGAGAGGAGGAGGAGGAGGAGGAGGAAGATTTAGTGGAGGAGGAGGAGGATTCGGAGGAGGAAGATTTAGTGAAGGAGGATTTGGACATGGAGGAAGATTCAGTGGTGGTGGTGGTTACTCTGGCTAAGCACCACTAGGATACAAACATGGACTGATAACACTTCTAACTTCATTAAGTTTCACTCTCCTCTGTGCAGGTTACAGGTGTATTATACTCCAGCGTCACTCAAAAATTCTGTCCCTTTAAGGAAGATTTCTATGTACTTATCGACAATTTTGGCGAGGCGGTAATGGTTTAATGTTTACCTCAGGATTTATTTGATGATATGTGTAAGTAGCGAAGAATAAATAAAATGTAAATATAA